TGAAATACACCCCGATTTGTGTAAGTTTTCGTTAGCCTGAATGTAGCGAGAACATAAAACAGAAGCAGGGTAAGTGAATGTAAAAAATATGGTTAGTGAAACTCAGCCACTGTTGCTTTTAATTGATACAGAACTACTTACCAAACACATGTTCGTGTCAGGTGGTCGTCAGCTTGAAACACTGGACCTGTGCTCCAGATTAGTTGGGACTTGTCAACAAGGCATCCCTTCAGTTGTGAAGGAACTGATGCTTCTTGTGGGTTTTAGACCCATGTTACCTAGCTTTACAACCTGAGACGTTACTATTGAGCTATTAGGGCTTTAATTGACACGCTACAAAACTGAGATATTTATAATTGATTGATTGCTGAGTAGTGACAAATATTACCTTTGTGTAGTATTTTAGCTCTGACCGAATTATAACAATCAAGTTGCAATGTAGCCACCAGTCTGAGTGATTCGACGTTGAGTGAGTTATTGCGAAATGTCAGGTGGTCGAAGGTAGTTGGAAGGAAACCGAAGACCCAGTTTTCGTGTTATCTGCCGACGTTGAGTCACTTTGACTATTGGCCGCATTGTAACTTGACTAATTAGCATTACAGGAATAAACAAACATAGTATTGGTCACTGATCAGTCAAACGTACAGATTTGTGTACTCGGCTTTTGTGTCAAGGCTAGAGATAGTACCTGCCTAACCGAACACTAAAGTGGAGTGGGATTCGGATTTGCAACCATGTAGTTAAAGGTCAAGTAATTTAATCTTGGACCCGATGGTAGCAACTAAAAACGATTACTGAAAGCAATCTAATAAGCTAACTGTGAAAATGACAAAAAAATTAGACGAATAACCAACTTGTGAGTTATCATCTAACTCCGGTAAGAAGTAGATGTCATCGTTTGACTCGGCTTTACTGTCCTTACTGTAAACTGATAAATGATTATCGACATCTTTAATATCCAATCCAACAAATTTTAAAAGGCTGGTCACTCGTTTTACATAAACTGGATGTATTGATATGAGATTCTCCTCAGAACTAATTATATATTCCTTTATATCTGGAAATAATTAGATAGAAATGAACACTTATATTTGTGTTTCTACTGTGCAGATTAACAAGTGACACGAACAAAAGTAAATGATATCATCATTATAATGCACCACAAACACATAACATAGTTTGAAAAGTCCTGACTTGCGTAATCTTCCAGAGTCCAGCTAGAGTTCTAGAATACTCGCGCCTGAGCACCCACGAATGGTTATCATACCTTAGGGAACTGCATTCATGACTGTGATGCGCCTTCCCACGAACAACAGTCCAGTAACCCTCAACAAATTTACCATAGACGAAGGCCGGACATTAAGCATTTGTTGGGGCCCTTCAGGAAAATATATAATAACATTGACCAACTTACCATCTCTATTGAATAGGCTGTGGGGATTTGACGACTATTTTACGACCACTTCTCTAACATACAAGTTTTATATACGGCTTCTGATTCTTGTGGAAATGCAAATCATGAACCGCACAATAGTAGTATGTTGCCTTTCGTGTACTGATAGCGCTCTTTAACCCTTCAAGCGATTGGAACGCTACCATGTACAATGTAGTGGAAATAGACATTATCGGTGTCCGTGACGACATTTGAAACGATAGAGCTAGTACTTTGTAAGTTATCAACGTTCGTAGTTTGGAGAAAAGGTGAACATTGAAGGAATATTTACTCTTTACATTACTTTTCAAAAATTAATAACCAGCAGCTACAATTTTAAAACTATTCAAGCCATTTGACCAAACAAGATAGAAAATTTCTTTAACGAAACAAGGCACAAAAATTGCTACGTTGTAGATGCTATTCTTCTTTCACATTACAAATATCATATTTAACACACCCATTAACATATACACGGCTAGATCTCACCGGAATAACATAACATTACCATGATCAGACCTATGTTAATTTCGACGACTGAAAATATCCTACATTGTGCCTTTTGCACTATTCAAACTTCTATTTATTTTTATTCTTCGAAGAAGTGAATTACACTAAATGACGAAACGTCGAAAGTGTCGTTTTTCTAGTTATTAGGACTTTACAAATAAATTATATCACAAAACTACATGTTGGTTTCAATGATTTTGTGTTTGAAAATAAACTGTTGACGAAATTTATTATTCTCCTCTTTTTTAATGACGTAAAAACTCATTGAATGGAACTGCTTAATTTAAAACAGTGATGAACAATATTTTACGTTGATGTATTTTACTAATAGTGATATTGGGAGAGTAAGAAAGTACTTATCAGTGAAATGTAGGGTGCCTATTCTCCCGTTCTGTCGAAAATAAAAAAAATAATGAGGCTTGAAGGAAGTATTTTCCATAACTGGTAATATAACAACTTTACTAAGTACATGATTATGAATCCAGCTTAGAATTACGCATTGTGTAGCGACTAATTATACTGACCAACTGTAATATGCGTAATGGTGTTCAAACCTGGGACCTGCTGGTTGACAGCCAAGTGCTTCAGCCACAATGCTATTGCTTTATCTTTTATCGGATAAGAGGCTTTATATTTGCGGATTTATTAAAAAATATGTATAAACGTACCAGCATACTTTTCAAGTAAGTGATGAAGACAGGACACGCAATTTTTGCAGCCGCCAATGCTTACATTTATCTGTAGAGAAAAAAGTAATCAATGGAAACATAATCCAGAAATCACACTTAGGAAATCGGAGGCTTTTTGGCTCATGGGTAAATCAGATTGACAAATTACTTGCGAAACCAGACTTTAGAAAACGTGTCAAGAAGTATTACAGTTATCGCGTAATCATTTCATAACCAACTCACTCCTACAACAGTTAATATTGCATTTTAACGTGGGTCGCGGTTGGGCATACATAACACATGTCCCAACTACCTCAGTCGATGAAAACCCACAACGTCAACAAACGAGATGCTATACTGGTCTAATACTCTCTACTAACTATAGTATTGTCCAATCTTGTTCCACAATATGCGAGCAGTGCATTAAAGACACCTGTGATCAAAAACGAGGAGCATTTGACTTTCAGTTGCCATGTTTCCATATCATAGAGTAATACAGAACAAACCGTTGCATTGTACTCGCCACTTTGTTGAAAGCTGACACAAGATGACAAAAGCTAAACTAGCTCTCTAAATCCATTCAGAGAATTCATTAACCAGCTAGTTGCCTGGAGTGACAAAAATTCCAAGAAAAGTGAAATGTTTGCCTTATATGTAGTTGTTTAATTACTTTGGATGGGGAGGAATTTATTGCCATTCGATACCATCTAGTATTATTTAACTGGTTATCTAATTAACAGGGATAAAACTATCACTTATTTATTTCGAATCGGCTTCTTAAACTAGTTTGAATATGGCCATTTGATCAATATATATAGCTAAAATAAATTCTAGGTGAGGACCTAATACATGTCATTCAGATAACAAAACCATTTGAACAGAAAAATAACCATCGTTTTTAAAAAGTTCCAATCACTTTTAAAATCCATATGAATAAATAGTTCGAATAACTTTTCAAGCGTTATGCTGTGATAAAATAGCAAATAGAAAACCCCAGCACACTCAATATGATTTTCATGCTTATAAATATCATGATACGGTGACTTGTTGGTAAACTTTCTTCGTTAATTCAAAATATTTCTGCAATGAGAATGATATGATGATTGGCTAACCAATATAATCAGTGTAGAAACCAGATACAGCAAATACAATTAAATTGTTTACGATGGTTACAAAACATTCGACTAAGTAATCAAGTACAGGTAGTAAGCTTTGAGCCGTATTCGCGCGAAATATGATACAATAATTTACTTCTCAGATAAAAGTTGATTAGTGAGACTAAATTTCCATTCAAACAACAGTTCTGTGAAAAGATTGGACAAATATGTATGCACATGGCATTTACTTGATCGAAATGGTGCAACATATTCAAATCTAACTCAATATAAAGACAAACAAAGGATTTACATAATCTTATTTTCAACATTACAGTTGTGGTAAATGTCGGCATACTATTAACACTACTAAGCAGTTTTTGACATTATTGATTAATGTTGTATTCAAGTACATGAACAAATATCATAGTCAATGTTAATCAATACGATAACTGTTTTTATTTACATTGGTGGGATTTGGTCTGTACTATATTCTGACTAACTGCAAATGAAAATGGAGTATTATTTAAAGTAAACCTTAAAATATTACTGGGGAAAACTATTGAAGCAAACTATTATGCAATAAGGCGGTAATACTGTAGTGAACGAAAAGGCAGGTAAGGTAAAGCGATCTGTTTTATGCAAAAGGACACAGTGCCTTTGTGAAATATGAAAATCACACATTAAATACATCAATTGCACATTTCCCTTAAGTTGTCCTTTACATACTCCATTCCTCCAATTCTGTTGTTATTTCGACTGCTCTGTTTTCCTTCCTCTTCACCTTATTTCAGTCCTCTGCTGGTATGCATTTCACTTCAAAAACCTGTCATATACTACTAATATCTGTCCGCGTAAGTAGCGCACACCACAATATCACTTTCGATGAACTTTAAATAAACAACACTGACCAACAAAATACAGACATACTTCAGTCCAATTGTGACTACAATTAATAAATCTCAAAATACACAAGCTTGTCATTTGTGCGCTAGTTACAACCGGGCGTTAACAAAGTAATATGAATGCGATCATATTGAGTTTCTTATGAGTTACCTTAAAACGCCACACATATTTGTTGCAAAACTTGTCTTAATCATAACAAATATTCGAATAAAGTTAACTTATATTGGAAAGTGTACTCAGTATAAAAGAGATTAAGAAAATTAGAAAATGATCAGTGCAAAAGAAATGCAATACCTTTGTGTATTCGTCTGACATTTTTCTGCCTGTAGTTTGAATAAAATTAGGTCGATAACTTTCTCAAATATAATTAAGAGTTAAGAAGATTAGTGTAGTAAAGTAAATCTATATTAGTTTAATTGTAACCAATTTACAACAAGCACTAAAGTTCGATTTAGTTTGCAATGAATCATTCATTACATGAATCACTACTGGGACTAAACTTTTGCTGCCTGAGAACACGTTGATTACTATCCATCATAGCGTATACCAATGCTGTTCCAAATATTGTATGACCCAAAAGCAAACAGGTGCCAACAGTTCGAAATGAGTTACTATAGAGTTTGAACATTCTCCACATACTTTTAACATCAAGCAGGTCAGGTACCGGGTAAGATCGTGTGATAAGTGCAGAGGCTGCAGAAGAGAGAAAGCCAAAGCCTAGGGGTAGGACCAATCCACACGTATTCTGAAGAAAAAATAAGCGACAAACTCTCAATGAACTCGTATAACAATAAGTTGGATATTTTACACTAATCTAGAATGAGAACAACGTTGTAAAACAGATGAAATTGGGAATAGTAACAGTAATTCGTAGGCCAAACAATTTTCGCGGTGAAATGATTACAGTAAATTATTATTGTTTATAAATACTATTGTTTTGTGTTGTCACTCATTACAACAACAATAACTTTGAGTAGACTATACATTTCGTTCCAATTATTTCAATTTCCAAAAAGGAGCAAATTAAGGAGTAATTGGATTCCATCCATTTCTCTTTTATGTCACACTTTACGTCAGCACAGTGAGAAACTAACAAAATGTGAACCAAAAGATGGGAGTTTCACATGAAACTATGTCGTGCAAACACGTTTTGGTCTGGTGTAGTTGGCTTAAATATTCACCGCAATATATGGTTTAAACAACAGTTCGACCGCCCCCAAATGCCCTGGTACGGCCGAGAGTGGGGAGAGTCCGCTCTCCCTCTCCAAATGCTCTCACATTACCACACGTATATAACCTCTGCCAGGGAAGTCCTACTCACTGCCTTCTCGTACCACTGGTGTTGTTTACGAAAATGAGAGGGCGAAAAGCGAATATCCGACGCTTTAACCGGATCCCAAACCAAACCAATGGTGCACATGGGCTCCAGTATCCTGCGGGAACAAATGGAGTATGAACCAATCGTTGGTCACCGGCTTCCATGGGACTGCATCTCCTTACGATGCTCCACTGCCTTGTGGATCAGACCTTCAGGTCAAAGGCTCGGGGAGTGGCCCCCTAAGAAAACCACCTGCTTCGGTTTGGGCACCCGGGCAGTATCACAGCCCTCACACATATCGAATGAGATTTGTGTGGCGCATATGTATTTGGTGCGTTCTTGTACCAATATCTATGTGTTAAAATAATAATAATAATAATAACAGTTCAACCATTACAAAACAATTATAAAGCTTGTTATAAAATAAAGAGAACAATAGTTGATGGTTTAGAGTAGATTGATTAGTTCGTGGCCTAATGTTAGCGGACATAGAAAGGATTAAAGCATACTCCGTGCACGATTGCGTTGGAGCACACTGATTGGCTAATTCTTATCCACACACCACGAGTCGATACTTGGAGAACATCCTAGAATCTTCTCATGTAAAAACTATAAATATACTAACGTTTTTTGTATTGCGTTTCTTACTTTTATCTATCCTTGTCATTTGGAATATAATCTCTTCCCTATTCAATTGCATTCTGGTTTGGGGACTTGTCGAGTGAATTGGTGTCCGAGAATACTAAGCAATAGGAATAGCTGGGTTGTAATAAGAGAAAATTACAATACCTAACAAACCGTTTTCAAATGTTTAAGTTAATAATCAACACAAGAATTTTAATCCCAATTTGACAATTAATTTGGCAGGCGTGGGAGTATGTTAGAGTGTAAGGCATCCAAATTACGTATAGCAAACATTACATAATAGTTAACAAGCTTAACTCTAAACGCCTTAGTACAGTTAAAAAACAGTTCACTCTCAATCTCGAAATGCTGACATGACCACAGCTGGAGAAGCTCTACTTACCACCTTCTCGCTGCATAGGTGCTGTTTAGAGAAATGAGAAGACAAACAGTGCTTGGACCGGGTTGGTGGGTACTACGGACCTCCCAAATATGACAATGAGTAATTATGAGGAAATCGACTTACTTGATCTGCTTCTCTACCTACTCAGAAGGTATTTATTACTCACCTAAGTCAAGTGCTCTCGTTTTACTTTACTTCCTTCTCCTACTCCTTTTTATTTCCATAGTGTACTTTTATTTGTTTTTGACTCGCTCACGGCTCGTCTATGGTGCGAAACTTGTCTTGTGCAAATGAACAAGTCTGTGACTGGTCAAATGTTTAAAAGCCACCACCGGATATGATTACTGATACTGCCTTTCGGAAACTACATGTCATTCAAAGTGATTTTCAACGTTCAGACATTAATGCGGATTATACAACAGATAGATTTGGCTAACTCCTTGCAAAGTCTTAATATTGACGTTTGTTGTCTATTCGAGACTCGTATTCAAAAGGTACCACAAAATCACCCTCCATCTATTGAATCGGAAAGCCTGTTTTGCGTGCGCTCGACCGGAGACCCTGTGGCATCTTGATCCGGTTTAGCTGGTGGTCGTGTTGGAATCGCACTAAGCGCCAGAGTAGAGGTAGTAATAACCGACTGAATCTCCATTAACAGTCGTGCATGTGATGTTACATTGGAAAGCTTCACCAAAGTGAGGCAGAATCGGTGTGAAAACAATTTCTTGTTATCTCTGCCTACACTCCGACAGATTGTAGCACAGATGCGACTAAGTATCAATTCTGCTACAAATTAAATGATCGCAGTAAAGCGCGTCCAACATATATTTTAGTGCTAGCTAGAGATCTAAATTGGAAGGTCAGGTGTCTGGATACAGAAGAAAGTTATCTGGGTGGCTAATGGATACTCGTTGGTTGCAGGTCGGATAACGGCGATCGTTTTCCGCAGACCAAGTGTTTCTGGGTAGAACCGACTTTTGGTATAGTCATCAGCGATGTACTGCCTGGTGTCCTCCCTATATAACTTAAGTCTGGACTCAGATTAACCGCATTAAGATCGGCTGCCGCTGGTGTGGTTGTGTACAAGACTGGTCATTTTTGCAGTGTGTACCTGGACTCTGATCATGTCTTGGTTTGAACCAATCTTATCCTACGTTTCACTGACCAACTAATTCACTGCCCCGAATTGATTGACGTAAGCGAAGTGGCTGAGGCATCCGTTGCAATCAAATATCAAACCGAGTTGGGTTTAGCTGCCAAGTCACCATAAATTATACATGACCACCTTGTACTAGAGTTCATCACTTACTAACTGGCTTTCCATCCATCACTTTCACAACCGAAAATTAATCATAACATATCAAAAACCCTGTTTTGCAATAAAGGAAGATTGATTTTAAACTAGTAAACTATTTTAGTTATATCGACCAATTATTCTAAAACGTTACACCTGTAGTAAGTTTGTGTTTATCAATGGTTACGTATTTTTCTGTGAGTTGGCATTTCACTGCCATATTTTAAAAGAAGGACTAATTAAACGTGACAGCTTTTAAAAGTTATTACTTTTCAACCTATAAACTAATTTACTAAACCAAGGGATTAAAGATCATACTCTGAGGAACCACACCTCATTGGTACCGTTAACAGGACACGAACGATTAGAACACTAGGTAAAATCTCCTAGAGATACAGGCTTTGCTTAGCCAACCCATTAAATGCGAATTTTGTTTCAATGAAACTTGATGGTATGTGTTTACACTTATGATTTTGAATCAATATCTTGGAAAATGAATCATATGGATAGTAAGCTACTGGCAGCACTTGGTCTAAGAAGCAGAACAAACTATACGTGCAAGAAATACATGAACACGAAATATGTAGTTAAGTAAGAACGGAGAAATATCTCTAAAATAATTATGTTAAGGTTATGAACAGGATAACTCACCATTATTAGAGCTTCACGTATTTGTAAGCAAATACTACAGTCAGGATATAACATTGAATTAGAGGGTCCAATAAGAATTTGATTAGAAACAAAACGGGTAAAACAGTGGTGTGCGATGCCAGTAGGAAGAAATACGCATGGAACCAAAGACAAAGCAAGTCCAACTCTAGTGAACATATTAAAAAACGATCTTGAGCGATAAGTTACAAGTAAACTTGAGAAAAAGGTAGCTACTGTTACTGCTTCTCCTCCAAACTTAAGAGGTAACACTTCTAGAGGTTTGTTCCATGAATTGATTATTTGAAGACGCAGAGCAAGTGCCTCAGAAGGATTTAACTGTATGGCACCATGAGGTACAGTTTTAGGGTTATAAACGAGAACCCCTTCAGCACGTTCAACCGACTTATCCATACTTTACATCAAACGATAAAATTTATTTGAAGAGATCTAAAAACATGAAAATAATGACAGAACATTTTATTTCTGAGATTAAACTTGTCAAACTGCAAACATTAGTCTGTAGCTTAACGGAAGTAAGACAATTCTCCATGACTAGTAAATCACGTTAATCCTTAGTCCTAAATGCGAACACAACCTTGAGAAAATTAAATGACTGAATATGTTGGTGAAATGCATTTATTAAGATAGTTGGAAGGAGTCAATATGAGTAAATGACAAATATAAGACGCTGAGCATGTTTCTTTAAAATTATATTTCTCATTAATATTATATATCTATGAAGGAAAGTGAATTTATGTGCATAGTAAAAATCAGGTTTCATCGAACTCTTATATTACGCTTTGTACCGATACAGTGACGCAACCAGCCCTATATTTATCATAAATTTTCGTTCTAATTAACTAAACCAGTTTTCGACCAGAAAACGGGAAGGAAATCAGAAGTACTGGGGATTCGGTGGTTTGTTGCCATATTACACTTTATCTTCCCATGAGATTACAATGCTTTATACCTCTATTTCTACGAACTTATTTTTTCTTCCTATTTTATATCTCTAAATGCAATCGTTATATATATATATATATATATATATATATATATATATATATATATATATATATATTGCTATCACTGGAGTAACTAAGTCTATGAATTCGGTGCTAATGAGGTATGGGAATTTGGGCCAATGCATGTATGTGCCTGGTGCTACGTTGTAACTGACTGACTGATGTTATCAGGTTTATGAGGCCGTCAGTTAGATCTTTTCTTGTTTTCAAGTGTTACACTGAAGCATTCTCAATAACTAAGAACGAGATGTGTGGAACAAGAAAACATACTGCGATGTGACGGCCAGACTTCGGTAGGCTTGTGTCTAGCCTGAAGGTTCTTCGTATTAGATGAGAAAGGGAGGTGTGCGAATCTATAAATAGTTCAAATGGTTGTGGACGGAATAGAAGCTTTCACTTAACGGGCTTCCGTGTCTAGTAGAAGTGGATCATCAATACCTCCAAGCAGGAACCTATGTATATTCTTGATAAAAGGGGAAAAAATTTGTAAATCATAGTAAGATATTATCCCTAGTCCTTAAGAATAGGTCAAGTTGCCTCTTAGAGTACTTCCGGGAAGTCGCTTGCACTAGCTCAGTCGGCAGCGAATTCCAAAATTTGACCACTCTAATGGAGTAAAGTTATGTCTACAGTCCGTTCTGCTGTGTTGTGTTTCTATTTCCTGGGTGTTACCCGTTAGGTTTGTGTTTGAGCTAAGCTTAAGTGTTTAAGAGGATGTCCAGAGGTTTTAAGTATACTGTAGGCCATTAGAAGGTCACCTCTAACACGCCTATACTCTAATGAGTAAAGGTCTAGTGATCGGAGGCGCTGTTCACAAGGCTTGAATTTGAGTCCCCGAAATGATTTCTTGGCTCGTAGTTGGATACGCTCCAGTGTCCTTATCCTTTTGGAGTGAGGGGGGACATACTATTCTAAATGCGGACAAATAAAACTGTTGAAGATTATGTGGTAAGTCCTATCGTCAAACTGGTAAAAATGGGCTTTAATGTTACCAATGCAAGGTTTGCTGAAAGGCATTTTTGTCAGTTAGCGTAAGACTTCGAATCGTAGGGATGAAAGAACAGGAGAAAAAGTGAGACGACCGGTAAGTAAATAGAATGTAATTACAGCTAATCAGAAAAGTAATCGACAACAGTAAGACATAACCCAAGTTTGCGATTAAAGCAATCTAACGATCACGAACGGGGTCGGTAGCGTCATGTTTCGGATGCGCTAAGACTTGAAGGCCTTCAAGTGTCAAATTGGATGAGTAGAAAAATCAGCTATTTGATTCCCTGTAATCTGTAAAAAGAAACCACATGAGTTTAGATTGTAAAGTGTGGCATTTAAATAACTTCAGTATGTCATTTTTGTTTTATGATTTGTGTAGTAGGGACTGAAGGCATATGGCCTATGTTATAACATAGGAATAACAAAGGAATATATTACTTTTCTAGTATGCTTCTCTAAGTGTCCAGTCTTCTCTTCAGTGAGCCAACTGAAGGTGTGGACACCACTGCTTCGGGCAGCGGGTTCCAAGTATTGATGACCCAGTGTGAAAACCTGTATACCATGGGTTTTTTGTTCGTTCTTGGTTTTTTAACCCGCCTGCTATGTCCTCTGAGATGTTCCGATCTAGTGGGAAGAAAAAGAGAGAATATGTTAGGTCCAAACTCATTTCTTAATGTTCTTTGCATCAAAATTAGTTCCCTCTTTAGTTTGCGATAAGTCACAATAAGGAGGTCCAGCTTTTCATGCCACTCTTTTTATGATACCCAAGCTCCCAACTTTGGGGAAATTGTGTGGAAATGCCCAAAGTAAATTAGCGTTCCCCAAAGTTAGGGAAAATTCTGTGGAAAGACGCAAAATCTCTTCAGAATTGCGAAAAATTTGGGGGTTTCATTAATAAATATAAGCCCACTTCCCCAAAGTGAGTCCGTTAAAACTAATGTGGTCAGCATCCAATATCGAAACCTTACAGAGCTATTTATTTTTGGGATTTATTTACCGCTACAGATCAACCCCTCTCTAGTGGGGTGGTGATGACCCTAGGACGTGGCCAGTCAGAAGTTTAAACTCAGCGAGTTTGTTGTTGGTAAACACTCTTCTGATAGTTTGCTAGGTTTAGCAGCATTTGGTTGTCTTTATTTACTATAAGGGACCATGCAGTAAAATATAGTAATAAAGAAACAAAGTATAATGAAAATTTCAGTTCCTTGTAAACTTAATCGTTGTTTTTATCTTATTTTCCAGCCGTCCTGGAAAATAAAAAATATGTAAGTGCATGCCGAAATACGTTGAAGAACTTTGAAAGGTCCCTCGTATGCTGATTCGAAAGGTCGTCGATGTGAGTCTCAAAGAACGAAGACGTGTGTACTATATCGTAACTCAGGTTGAACGAAAACATCAGTTGTCTGCGGTCGAATGGAAACAAGTCTTAATAAACGCATTGCGTTCGTAAGACTACTCGTGTAGGAGTTTAGATCCATATTCATAAAAGAAGACAAAGAATCCGTGAAGTATCGTTCCACAAACGAGTTGAGTTGCAGTGTATCCGATGTCAGCTTTCACTGCATTGCGGATACCAAGTAAGACAAGTAGAAGGTCATCGGTCCACTGTGAAATGTTTGCAGCCGATAGGGAAAATTTTAGCTGCCGGTGAAAGCGCTCTATCAAGCCGTTTGCTTATGGGTGGTAAGCGGTCGTTCAGAAGCGAGTGGTTCCTAATAGTGCGGCCAGACAACGGAAACGTTCAGAATGGAACTGGCGTCCACGATCTCTAGTGATGGTTGAAGGGCAACCGTAGTTTGCTACCCACCGTCCAACGAACGCGCGGGCCACTGTTTCGGCAGTGATGTCTTTGATAAGTACTGCTTCTGGCCATCGAGTGAAACGTTCTACACACGGTGAGATAAGAGTATCCATTTGAATCTGTTAAAGATCTTACCAAATCCAGATGAATGTGATCGGGACGAGCATCGGGAGTTTTGAATGAGCCTAAGGGACATTTGTTGTGTCTGATAACATTAGATTTTTAGCAGCTTACACAGGAGCGTGCCCACTCCCTCACGTCTTTATTCATGCCAGGCCACCAAAACCGTTCTGCTATAAGCTTGATGGTTACACGGACACCTGGATGAGAAAGTTTGTGCAATTTATTGAAGACAATGCGTCAATAATGTTTCGGCACGATTGGAAGATTCCCACCTGTAGATGTGTCACAAAGTAAGGTTTCCTTACCTGTTCCCATCTGTTTGATGCGCAGCTTAAGGGTTGTTCAGGATAAATCGTGCTGAAGATCAATATCTTCTTTTTGAAGCTAAACGAGTTTAAGAAGGTCGATTCCTTGAAAACATTCGAGGATGTTATGCGAGACAAGGAGTCTGCGTCTACATTGTTTGTCCCAGAGATGTGTTGAATGTCTGAGGTGAACTGTGAAATGTAGTTCAGTTGTCAAGACTCACGTGGTGAGTACTTGTCTGAAAAGAAGCTTAAAGAACATCTAAGAGGTTTGTATTCGGTTTAAAGTGTGAATGCATGGCCTCCAACAGAGTGTTGAATGTGCCGTACAGTACTGTACGTGGCTAAGAGTTCTCTACCGAAAATAATATACCTCTATTCGGAGTCTAGCAATCGTCTCGGAAAGAATGCCAATGATTACTTGGTGTTGCTTATCCACTGTTGTAAGACTACTCTGATTGCCGAGTCGGATGCGTCTACTGCGACACCAGTAGGTGCTTCGGTGTCCCTGTGTGCGAGCAAAGTTACTTTGGCGGTCAGTTCCTTAACTGTGGAGAATGCTTCTTTCGTAATGTCGTCCAACTTGGTGGATTTCGGATTTTACGAAGTCAGTAGGTTAAAGGTCTCATAAGGAACGCGCAATTTGGTATGAACCATCTATAGAAACTTACCAAGCGTTAGACGTGCGTAGTTGTTTGATTGCGGTCGGTTCTAGGTAATCCAGGATGGTGGCCACCTTTCTTTTCAGAGGTCGGATGCCTTGAGCATCAATAATATGTTATAAAAGATCTCGAGAGTCAGTGAAGATTTGACATTTCCTAGTGTTTACAGTACTGTCGTGTTTTCGAAGTCAATCGAAAACGAGGTACAGATGATGGAGATAAGATTCTCTATCCGGACTTGCGATCGAACAGTCATCTACGTATGTGTGTAGGAAGTTGAGACCACAAAAGACGTCGTCTATGAATCTCTAGAATATTTGTGCAACATTTCTTAAGCCGAAATGCATGCACCAAAACTCATAAAGGCCGAAAGGTGTGATGATAGTGGTTTTAGAAATGTTGTCAGCAGACATGGACGTTAGGCTATACGCTTTAATCCAGTCGGTTTCTAGAAGAAAACTTGAAATATCAAAACTTTCTATGAGAGTATCATAAACCCGTTTGGAATGACAAACACGTAATGCTCGTGAGCTAATTCATTTATTGATCGAAAATCATAAAACAATACAGAGAGAAATGAACAGTTTACGAAGACGTTTCGAAGAAAAAATACTTCATTATAACCACTTGGACGCTGTCGAGAATTATCATATGCCAGTACAAATGAATTTTTGGAGAAAGGGGATCCATTTCACCACTCGAAATAATGTTAACTTCCAATTCAGTATTGTCATTTGATTCAAAGTTACATTTATCAAATAATACGGAAATCAACTGAACTGTAAGTTGAAAACAAGCAATCAGTTTCAGTTTCAATTTGGTAAGGACAGGAGACTTGGTGACCTATGTTATTCCTGACAATAGTGGTCTCTCAGTTGATTCAACTTTCTTTTGAAAGAGTCGACGGATGGAGCCTCAACCACGTGCTGAGGTAATGAATTCCACTCATTGATGATTCGATGGGAAAGTCGATAGTCAGTTGAAAAGTAATTTGTCCTTGGCTTGTTAACTTTTTTGGAGTGTCCTGTTTTGGAAGACAAGAAAAATGAGGGCATATCAGGTGCAAATTTGGCACTAAGCAATTCGAAAACTGTAATCAAGTAGTTTCTGGTTCTGCGATATGACAACGGGAAAACGTTCAGCTTGACCAGTCGAACTTCATACGGAAGCTTCGCTATTCCGGGAATCAGCTTAGTTGCCGTTCTCTGAACCTTTTCCAGAAGCTCACTGTCTTTTTTAAAGCAGGGGCTGGCCTCTTGTATGCAGTACTCAGGTTTAGGACGAACGAACACTGTATACAAAGTCAAAAACGTCTTGGCGTCGACACGACTAAAAGCCCTACGTATTGACCATAAGGTTCTAAAACTTTTGGCGGCTATTGCACGGCAGTGTGCAGTAGTCTTTAAGTCTTGGCTAACGATAACTCCTAAGTCATTATATGTCTGGACGACAGGTAGCTCAGTGTTATTCATCGTGTATGTATCTGTGCCTTGATGACCGATATGCATCACAACACACTTGGAAGTATTCATTGGCAACTACCATGTTTGAGACCATTTAGATAATCTCTTCAGGTCATTTTGAAGTTCTAAGCTATCACTCTTACATCGTATCGTTTTCCATATCTTGACATCGTCAGCATATAGCAAGACCGATGATGATAGGAGACAAGGAAGGGCATTTACATACAAGAGGAATAGCACTGGCCTCAAAACTGCACCCTGGGGCACTCCACTAAGCACAGTTACCCAGCCAGATAACAAAAATTTTTTTTTATAAGTTAACTAATTTAAGAGAGAAATTAACTCTAAAATTAATCTCCTTATATTACAGTACTTTTAAGTTTTATGTGATAAATTTCTAATCCATTAATATGACAAAAGTTTATGATACGAATAAATGGATAACGTTGAAATAAGCCTAGTTATTTTAGGCATGAAACTCCGCCTGGCGTCAATCCGGCGGCTATTGTCGGTCCCAAGCCCGGATAATGGGGGAGGGTTTGTCATGGGGTTAGCGTCCCAGTCCCGTAGGAAACTAACTCGCTAAAAAAAACGCTAACCAGAAAAAATTATTAAAATTTTTTAAACTCTGCCCCGGGAGTCAGGAGGTCTTCATTTAGAAGAACTATGACGACTCGTAATGAAAGCCGAATTCCTTCGGAAGTTATGGGCCGATGCCACTTCTGACAACCAGAGCAACCATTTATTTAGGTACATGGAATGTTCGTACAATGTGGGACACCGGGAGAGCTTTCCAAATTGCTGCAGAAATGAGGAGATACATCCTAGAGGTACTTGGGATCAGTGTGACACATTGGACGCCAGTTGGACAACAAAGACTAACT